TATATATCTATTGCTCTGCATCCCTACGCATCGAGCACTGTTTCAACAGTATAGACCACATTACATACTTTGTTATATATATATATATATATATATATATATATTATTGCTCAGATAACCCACAGATTGCCGTCTCAGGAGGATTAGGTGATGGGCTTCCTGTGCCGTTTATAGCTGACTTCGGTCGTCAGCTTTTGTTTCTCTTGGACCCAGTAAATAAATGTTAAATAAATTCCGCCATATTAAATTCAGGACAAAGACGTACTGATTGGTCTGCTCGAAATTATTCCGCTGTTTTTCTCGAGTCTTGATTTAGAATAACTAAAGGCGCATTTTCTGTCTGGGCTCCCTGTGTTGTGTCGAGCAACGCCTGGCTTGTTATGTTTTTTGTCCCTATTTATTATAATTCTCCAGTCATTTGTTCAACGTGTTGTTGTAGAATGTTGGTATTTCATTGATTTTCCACCAGAGATCAGGCAGTTTTCAGGTCAAGTGGTACGTTAGGTAAGTCAGTATTGATGTGTTTTGGTGCAATGGTTGATTTCGACAGAGTTTAGAGGTTCTTTACTGTCTCGTTGCTATACGATACTCTAAGCTATAGACCGTTTTCTCAAGGATGCGTTCGCATCCAATTTGACGGCTATATAAAATTAAAATCGCAAATTCAGTAAAATTGACAAGCCAGTCTTATATTTAAAGAGGAGAATAAGCAATTTTACGAATTTTGATCGAAAAAATCATAGAAATGTAAAATATTTCTCATCATAATCTCCTGTTCTGGTATCAAGGCCCGTCAAGTTCCTTAAATTTGGATGCGCACGCAACCTTGAGGGAACGACTTTGCATTGAAATAGTAAAAACATCTACTGATTAAGGATTCATTCTACAAACTACACCTCACCTTTTGTGCAATCACTTCTTGTACTCATATGAAGCGTGCAAAATTTGGCACATATTTGGTCATTTAGTAGAAGCTTGAACATCTAATTTCGCTGTTCGTAGATCAGTCAACCATGGCAGAGGACGAAGCAGTAGATCCAGATTGGTGTGGCTATGAATGTAAGTCAGGACAGATTCTGTTCTACTATAACAAGAGAACAGGAGAACACAGATGGGAAGGTGGTGATTATGTAAGTAAAATATTAAACAATACTGGTTGCTAGGCGATGGGAAGAGAGGGGTTGGTAGGGACCAAAGTCAGTTAAGCAATATGATGTATAGAACGTCTGAACCCAGGTGAATGAATGTTTATCGAAGTATTATGATCATCCGGGTGGATGTA